GATCTGCGCTCAACAATGCAGCCTAGGTGGAGTAGTCAAACACAGATCCATTGAGCCTTCAACACAGAGCATTTTCAAAAGACAAGCTGATAAAATAAATTTTAAAAATGTGTATTGTTCGACACAAGTGTGTATTGAACGGTTCGACACAGGTACATGTATTGTTGCACCCCAATATATAAATAATATAAAAGTTTACCTTGACAGGAGCGCTCATCTGACAGCAGCTTATAGCCTTTCCTGCAGTGGCATTCGAAACTCCCGATGGTGTTTCTGCAGAAGTGTTCGCAGCCGCCGTTGTGAAACTCACAATCATCGATATCTGTGGAAAACAGGTTGACATTCTGACCACATTTAAGCCAAACATCCTTTAAAGAGTTCTTAAAGGGGAGCTGCGGTCTGACCTTTGCAGGATTTTCCGTCGGGCTGCAGCGTGAAGCCGACAGGGCAACTGCAGTGCACGCCGGTGGACGTGTCTTTGCAGGTGCTGTCGCAGCCTCCATTGTTCAACGCGCAGGTTTCTGAGCAGATAACACGCAGAGTTCACCGCAAACTGTTTGTGTTTGTTAAAAATAATCACTGGATCTAAATCTGATCCAAGGTTGCTGCTTCAGCCAGCTGAACTTAGAAAACACAAACGTGACTATAACTGAGTCGGTCTTACAAATATTGAGACAGAATTTGGTGTTTTAGTWGTTGAGCGTTGATCCCAWCAWACGCTGAACATTGCACAACAMAAACCCTGTCTGTTAGCAAAATATCTTCTGAAACACTGAAGGTGATTCAAAGAAACTCTCAGAAAGAAATCACTGGGAATGGATCTACAATCTGAGATTGATTGATTCCAATTATTTTAGCTGCTACAGCTAATAATCAATAGKCAAACAAAAATGGCTTGAACTCAGTAAATTTCACAGATGTTAAGATGAAATTTGATGTGGTAGTAGCTGAGAGTCATTCACAACARGTATTCTGTGTAGAATATTGTGATTTATTARTACACGATATTGAATGTCATTTTATTTTTAAAATGTGAGCAAAAGGGCAACATTTCATCATCTGTTCACACAAAATGATCTTCTTCTAAAGCGCTATTTAAAAAAAATAATGTTTGGCTTATTAGAATAAAAAGAAAATTAAGAGCTGCCCTGACTTTTTTTTCTGCTGTATGTGAATTTTTCAAATGTGACATATTTTGAATTTTGTGTGGTAGTTTCTCTTTTAACCTGGTGGATGATGTAATGGTTTACATACATCATGTTTGACTGAATCACAAATTGAATAAACTCAAGCTACGCTGAAATGAACAAAAAAAATACATGCTGCCCTTCCCAAATAGATGGAAAACGTGAAATTTACCACACTGTCACAAATGCATATATTCCAGGAGGGAGGCGGGAGCTGGAAGAGTCAGCGTGGAGTTATTTCACAGTTTGTTCTAAAGACTGAGGAATGTTTCGCTTTACTAGACATCAGTCCTCTTCCCGCTCCTGTTGGCCTCACGTCACATAAAACACAATTATTCGGTTCTTCTGTGAGGCGTGTGACTGTTACCCATTGACAGTCGTCTCTTCACGCGTTTGTCCGCCTCAGTAGAAGACGTGGCGTTGTGGTCCGAGGACTCGGCGGTGGCTTCATCTCGCTCTGCGGAACACAGAAACAAATGTTAAACTGGAGAAAGAGCTTCTTCTGGGGAAATACAGAGTTAATTCTGAGGGATTTGACTGAAAAAGGTGAATCTAATTTGTTGGAGCTAAAAGAAGCAGAACACTATAGAAGCCAAAAATAACAACTAAAAYCTTAATAAAGCAAAATGCTAGCAAGAAGTATGAAGAGGATTTGTGAAAAAAGGTAGCAAAAGGCTGGTAAAACTAACACAAGGGTAGACAAAAGCAGCATAAGGACAGCTAGAAGAGATAAAAAGTAGTGAAAAGCTAACTAGAAGGTAAACGTGACAAAACATTAGCAAAACGTGGCAAAACACTTGCTAAAAAACTAAAAATGATCAAAACATTGGGCCTCATGCAAGAACCGTTCGTACGCACAGATTTGTTCTTAAGTTGTGCGTACGAGTGATTTAGGAGAATTTGTGGCATTCAC